AAGCAAGTTTGTATCATCTGCATATTGCAGGTTTTCAATGAGACTTCCTCCAACTTGATGCCACGTTCTTCTTCATACTAGAAAGCTTCTCGAATTATTTGTTCGGCATACAGATTGAATAAGTATGATGAAAGAATACAACCTTGGTGCACACCTTTCCTTAATTTAAACCATTCAGTGTCCCTTGTTCTGTTGGAACAAATGTCTCTTGGTCTGTGCATAGGTTCTTCATGAACACCAGTAATTGTTCTAGAAAACTCATTCTCCACAATGTTGTCCATAACTTGGCATGATCCACGCAATTGAAAGCCACTGCATAGTCAATAAAATACAGGCAAACATCTATCTGTTATTCTCTGCATTCAGCCAAGATCCATCTGACATCAGTAGTGATATCTGGCAGTTCCATCAATGTACTGTTGCAGCCATTTTTGAATTGTTTTTTGAAAAATTTACTTGCATTCAATATTAACGATATTGTCCAATGATGTCCACATTCTGTTGGGTCGCCTATCTTTGGAATAGGCATAAATATGGTTCTCTTCCAATCAGTTGGCCCTGTAGCTTCCAAATTTCTTAGCATAAATGAGTAAGTGCCTCCAGTGCTGCATCAGTTTGTTGAAATATATAAATTTGTATTCCATCAATTCTCGAAGTCTTGTTCTTTACCAGTGTCTTCAGTGCACCTTGGACTTCTTCCTTCAGTACCATTGGTTCCTGATCACATGCTACCTTTTGAAATGATTGAACATCATCCATTTCTTTCATTTATTTATTTATTTTTAATTTAAGGTTTTTATTGTGGATTGAGTAAAAGGTTGCAGAGCAGATCATCAGTTTTACATTCAACAAGTCATACAACTGGTTTCATTACAATATATTATAATCCCCTTCAGGTACCATCAGTTACCAGTGTTTCTCTCTATTCACTTTAGCTTTTTTTTTTTTTAAACACTCAGACATATAGAATAATTTACACCACCAAAGGGCACATTCTGCAAGTCTGCCTCCTGGCTGCCATCTCTTAGTCCCTCACTTCCTATGAATGTAGAGTCCTCAGCGGCTTCCTCTCTTCATGTCCCCATTTCTGCCTCCATCTCTGGTGTTGCGGCTCTTCTCTGGATAAGGTCCTGCCTTCTGCTTGTGATCTTCTTCCTTGATGGTCCTAGGGTCCTTTGTTTCTGGACTGTAAGATTAATCATGCACGATTTTGTTACAAAACTTCTACATTTACAATTGTGAGAGTCGCAATTAGTCCTGATAACAGTTACTCATTATTTAATCATAAGAATCTTTTTTTAAAAAATGTTTTATTGTGGATTATGTGATAGTTTACATGGGAGAACATTAGTTTTACATTCATTCTATCGTATATCATCTCATTGCCATGGTTACAATCCCCTCCATGCATCATCAACCAACCAAAGGGTATACCCTGCAAGCCTGCCCCCCTCCCTGTCGTCAGCACACAGTTCCTCTCCCTCTCTGGATCTAAAGTCCCCAGCTGCTCCATCGCTCCACGTCATCATTGCTGCCTCCATCTCAGGAATCACTGCTTCTCAGGGTAGGGTCCCGCTCTCCGCTCTTCTCCACTGATGGTTCTAGGGACCTC